TACAATATAAGTCATAAACTTCATGACACTCATTTCAGCTATTGTTTCCCTACCCTTCCGGAGTTCCCTTCACAAAAAAGCAGATATAGACAATTTAAGATATGGACTTTCTCCCTTCTCCTCCCACTACAGTTCCCCATTTTTCTTCACTTCTCCTACCCCCAAAAACCCTCCCGGCCTACATATTGCCCTGGAATCTGTTGCAGAAATTTCCCACTAGCGATTCCTAATTTGGGGTGAAACTCAAAACCCGCACGTCAACCCCAATCCTTGACAGGTTGGAGTTGACAGCATGCTTGGCCTCCGGACCACCCGCCAAATCCACATTCACTAACCCTCTGCCCCCCCCACCCCACCCGCTTACTCAACCCAGGGAAAAGGGACCACGCTCCCCTACTTCTTCCTAGATACCCGCTGCCACTTTCCTGCCCCCCCCTACCCTCCGCTCTCTACCCTCTGATAGGCCCCTCCTTCAAGGTCCATTTTCTGTAAGTCTAATTTCTCACAAAAGTCATTTAGATCTTCTGAGTACCGCAGCCTTGCCGATCTTCCATCCGATTAAACATGTTGGCAAGCCCACTTGTATCAAACTTTTTTTTCTCTCTCATATGGTCCAACAATGTTTTCAAAGATCTTCTAGCCAGTGTCTCTGGAGAAATGTCCAAAAAAATATGCAGGTTGTTTCCTCATATTTTATTTCAATAGAGTCACGCAACCCTTTCCATATTCTCTTTCATCTCCGAAGTGATGGAATCAGACGATCACATCTCTGGGGTTTTCCACCAGTACTCCTTTTTTTTGGCCGTCTGATCCTATGTACTCTCTCAATTTTCAATTTCTCTGTCACTGCTCTCCCCATAATTGGATTACAGATTCCTTATTTTCTCTTGTAGATCCTCTTCCTGTCGCGTTTCTTCTGGTAAACCCCTAATCCTTAAACTGTTTCTTCTATTGCAGTTCTCCTGATCTTCTACTATAAATGAAAGCTTTCTCTGTTCTTTACGCATCACTTCCACTTGCGTTTCTAGTTTATTATTAATTGCGTGTATCCCTCCATTCTCCCCTCTACTTCTTCAATTCGGGTTAATATCCAACCCAGGTTATTGCGTAATGTCCCGTTCTCATTTTTCGTGGACATCTCTAGTTTCACGAGCATTTACGCCACTTCAATTTTTGTAAGTGATTGTGATATGGATCCTTGCTGTTCCATGTTTCCTTGTTCTTACACTTTCCCCATTTACAGAGTCTTCAATCTGGTTCTCTTCCAGTGTCCCGAGTGAAAGTCTGGATTAATCTCCGTCATACTTTTTAAGTCCTTCAAGCTGATTCTCATGGGTTTGGGTCTCTGGGCTTCTCTCTTGCAGGGGCATGCACTTTCTTATTGTGCTAGTGTTTGTGTTTTTGATTGGTGAGTCTTTGATTTTTCCCCCCCCCCCCCCCCTTTCCCTTTAATCAGTCTACTCTTCATTTTGTTAAAGAATTACAATTCGTTTTCCTCTGTTCCAGAAATACTGACCCAGGATAGCCCTCCTCCTCCTCCCTTCCTTTTTTTTTTTTTTTTTTTTTTTTTCTTCTTCTGCTAGAGTCCAGAAACCCCTTCATATCTTGTTTGTAGAGATGAGTGGACCCTCTGACCCCCTAGGGTCCTCCAATAATGTTCTCCTACATGGTAGTCCCAACAAATGATTACTTACTTCAAAAGCAACAATTCTTTACAGATTTCTACCGCTGCCTGCGGCAACTCACCATCACCTTTCGTGCCGCAAGTGTGTTTCTACTCCGTCCCTGTTCACTCCTTCCTTTCAGCCTAATCTTCCAGTCAGGGTTCCTGGAGTAGGATATGTGCTATGGAGGGTCTCCACCAGTCAGGGGTCTTGTGGTATCTGGGTGTTGAATGTAATACTGAGGTCTCCCTGTATAGTCTGCCATCTCCTTCAGTTCACTCGCAGTCTCAGGGGGCTTCAGCCACTGCCACACAGGCAGACTCACAGGAACTCCCGGCGTCCTTCCATCTTTTGGAGGCCCCCGCCTCCCATCTCGTCTCCACTCCTCCGGGCCCACAGGACTCCTCCAGCCACTGACTCCCAATCCCCACCAGTCACCTGCAGGCTGCACAACCCGCAGGTGGGCGGCCAGCACACACCACCTGGGATCCTCCGCTGCACCAGCTGCCAAGAGAGCACGCAGCTGCCGACCCAACTAGCACATAGACTGCAGCACAGACAAGGACCAGGTAGGCTCTAGGGCTTATCCTTCATGGTGCACCTGATTGGGTCTCTGGCACTCCTGCACTGTGCTGCCTCACAGCTCCATGTTTTGGCTCCTCCCCTGATGTCCCGCCTCAGGTTTTTATGATGACAATTTGCATATACTCCAGAATCTTACGACGAGTGATCAGATGAATTACTGTTAAATGCAAAGTCCACCTTTTGCTAAGAAAATGAGCTCAATTCAAAAAAATTTCCCCTGCATTTCACCCCTGCCGCAAAAGGACCAGCTGATGTCATGTCAGTGATTCTCTCATTAACACAGGTGTCAGTCAGCATGACAGAGCGATTTCCAGCCCTGTCCTCAACACCGAGTTAGAATAACAGACTGGAAGCTTTAAAAGGAGGGTGGTGCTTGAAATCATTGTTCTTCCTCTGTTAACCATAGTTACCTGCAAAGAAAGATGTGCAGTCATCGTTGCTTTGCACAAAAAGGGATTCACAGGCAAGAATATTGCTGCTACTAAGATTGCACCTAAATCAACAATTTTTTGGATCATCAAGAACTTCAAAAGGGAGGGGTTCAATTGTTGTGAAGGCATCAGGGCTCCCAAGAAAGTCTAGCAAGCTCCAGGACCATCTCCTAAAGTTGATTCAGATGCGGGATCGAGTAACCACCGGTGCAGAGCTTCCTCAGGAATGGCAGCAGGCAAGTGTGAGTGCATCGGGAATTGAAGATTTTGGAGGATGGCCTGGTGTCGAGACTGGTAGCAAAGAAGCCACTCTTCAGGAAAAACATCAGGTACAGACTGATATTCTGCAAAAGGTACAGGGATTGGACTGCTGAGGACTGGGGTAAAGACCATCCCCCCCCCCCCCCCCCCCCCTTCTTTTTTTTTTTTTTTTTTCTCTCTGATGAATCCTCTTTCCAATTGTTTGTGGCATCCGGAAAAAACCTTCTCCGTAGAAGAAAAGGTGACCGCTACCATCAGTCCTGTGTCATGCCAGTAAAGCATTCTGGGATCCTTCATGTGTGGGGTTGCTTCTCAGCCAAGGGAGTGGTCTCACTCACAATTTTTCCTAAGAACACAGCCATGAATAAAGGAAAAACATCTAAGAGCAACTTCTCTCAACTATCCAAATACCGTTTGACAAACAATGCCTTTTCCAGCATGATGGAATATCTTGCCATAAGGCAAAGGTGATAACTAAGTGGCTTGGGGAACAAAACACAGACATGTTGGGTCCATGGCCTGAAAACCTCCCTAGACCTTAATCTCATTGAGAACTTTTGTGGTCAATCCTCAAGCGGGTGAACAACCCCCCCCCCCCCCCCCCCCACAAATTTTGACAAACTCCAAACATTGATTATGCAAGAATGGGCTGCCATCAGTCAGGATGTGGCCCAGAAGTTGATTGACAGCATGCCAGGATGAATTACAGATAATAAAAACCTTTGACACTTATGAAATGCTTGTAATTTATACTTCAGTATACCATAGTAACGTGACAAAAAAAATCTAAAAACTCTGAAGCAGCAGACTTTGTAAAAATTTTATATTTGTGTCATTCTGAAAACTTTTGGCCACGGCTGTACACTACTTTACAGTGTGATTATGTGGTGAGATTTTTGATGGGACTTTGCATATTTTAAGGGGCCAAGTCCCACTGTAAATCGCACCAAAGTAGAGCAGGAACCTTTTCCAAAATCGCACCGTTATGATTCGCACTGATTTAAAGCGGGCACTACTGAAACCAATGATATTTTCCTTGTCAAGTCACACTAGTGTGAACCATTAGTACCCTACATTTTATTTAGTTTGCTGTCTACTCACTCTCCTGTACGGCTAGGTTCACATCTGTGTGGCTCTGTAAGTTGCGTTTGCTTGGGCACAGCCTCTGAATGGGCAGCTGTGCCTGTGTTTTTCATGCCAGAAAAAAGGTTCCTAAACCCCCCCCTTTTTTTTTTTTTTTCTTCTTTAAAACACACCCACAGGGAAATTGTGCTGCATTTTTCGTATGTGTGAGACTGCCATTAACCTGAATGGACCCCCCCCTTTTATCTGCAACAGAATAGTGCAGTGTGGTTGGCGGTGCAGGAACCGGTGCGAATTACACCCTGTTCCGCAGGGAAATCTTGTCACTATGGTATAACAGGTGATAAAATCTCGTTTGTTATATTCTCCTACTAGCATCCACCTGTAACTGAAATATTGACTTTGGCTGGACTTGGTCTTCTGCATGCACACTGGCTTAAAAAACACTGGCTCTTCAAGAGTTTTTTTGTGTTTTTTGCCTGTAGAAGCATCTTCAGTGTTTTCCTATGTGTCTGTGCACATTTGGACGATTAGAGGCATATTTTAGACTCAACCTCTAGAGACGGGGTAAAAAAAAAAACCCTTTTGGTTTGCATTTTTTGATTGGAGCTTTTTGGCAGAAAAATGCTAAACTGTGTACAAAAACGCTCCTATGTCAGCTTTTTTTTTTTTTTCTTTTTTCTGCCAAGGGAACTGGCATTTTTTCTTTTAAGCCTAGAATGCATCGAGCCTTTGAAAGGGGAAAAAAAAAGTCTTTGATTTACGTTAAGAGAATCCTGGAAAGAAAATAGGAAGATGCTGATAGGTGTTGTCAGCACAATGCAAGACCTCTGCTCTGCCTCACTGGTTACTTAAGAAGGTGCAGTTGTTAGCCTTTTGAAATCTAGTTGCTCTTTTTAGAGACATTCTTTCACCTACATTTCTTGTAACGCTGCTTTCCATTCTTCTGCAGGTTTAAAGAGCTTTCCTTCATAGAATGGGACTGGGGACCGGTCGTAGAGGAATGAAGTCCCCGCCTCTTCTCATTGCTGTGCTCCTAGCATGTGTTTTTGTTCTTGGAATAAATTACTGGATTACAAGCTCAAGATGTGTGGAGCTACAGGTAGGACATTTGTAAATTGTACTTCACAAAGACGTGTGTCCGTTATCAATGGTTTTTAGAACAAAGAGTGGCTTGGGCTGCTGGTCACTGATTTACAAAAGTGAGACCAGGAAATTACAGCTGTACCTTGTTGGTAATCTTTCTAATGATAGATCAGCTGTGCAATAATTTATACGATTGAAACGTCATCATTACTCTGTTTTAATTGCAGCTATGGAAACCATGTGCCTCCTAGTAACAGGAGTACATGTGTACATTTCCTTTTTTTTTTTTTTTTTTTTTTTTTTTAATGACCTGACAAATTATAACGCAGCTCCTGGAAAAGGAAATGAGCATTTGTACATATGCTGTGTACATATATTTATATATTTGTAGTGGATGTTATGGGGTTGGAATTTAAAGGTTTTCTTTAAAGTGTTCTTAAGCCAAAAATACAATAGTTAGCAACGTACCATACATTAGATGTGGTGGCTTTATTAGTTTTCTTTTCTTAAGCTTTTTTTTCCCCTCCTGTAACCTGGCCAGTAACACACCACCTGTAATAGAGAGCTCCCATTCTGGATGAAGCACACAGCGCACCTTTTGGACAACAGTATGGTCAGTCTGGGGGGGAGGGGAGTGTTAGATGGATTAGCAGATTTATATACACTAACAAAAATTAAAATGAACTTTAGCAAACACTTTTTATAATCCGTTACAGCAGTTTTGTTCCTTTTTTGGGAGAAAGGTTATACAGAAATAAGTAAAAGCTGATCCTTTTTAAGTGCCCCTCCTAGTGTTAAATGGTCTGTCTCATCCCCGTACCTTCAAGAGGGCTTTAATGTTGAAAAACAGACTTACTGGCTTTATCAACAGATGAAATTAAAAGGAAGAGAGTCTGAAAACTAATGAGGCTATCGCATCTAAGAACTGGTAAGCTGCAATATAACAACTGTTTGCTTTTGGGTTTAATACTGCTTTTAAGAAAGTCTGACCTGAGGAAGCTTGCACCTGACAGGAACTTTGGAATGTGAGCACTTATGTTCCCGTACATGAATAGGAACCTTAGAGCATAATGACTGTCTTGAGCGGAGCTAAGCTGCTTTTGGAGAGATGCCTGGTAGCCAAGAATGACATAAGATATTCTGCTGAGCTGCTCAGTTTGGTAGCAGACCCATTAGAACAGTGTGCAAGATGTTAAATTGTATTATGCTGAGTAATTTGGGGTTTTGTTGAACCAAGTAATCCTATGCTTTATAGAAAAGGGCTAGGTAAGATATATCTTTCATACATTTTTCACAACTTTGTCACTAAAGAAAGCTTAAATGTGTTAAACTGGTACATATTTAAAAATAAAGATAAATAACATAACTCCGTTCCATCTGCATATAATGTACCCCCATTTAAAGTTTTAGTCATTATCTTTATAAATCTATTGTAGCCATTGATGTTCTGCTTGTGAGTAAAGAACAACCATTTTAAAGTATAAATGCAAAATGAATGTCTAACTCCACCTCCACTATCACACTATCAGGTGCTGCCCCTGTCTGTCACAGGATCCATGGCACAAAAAGGAAAAAAACAGATTTTCCTTTTTGCAACTCTTTTAAAGTACACCTGCCATTGTTTGACCTTTTTCTCAAAAGATCAATGACCCAGAACAAGAATGCAACAAATTGAAGCTGAACCTCAGGGAAAACAAAAATCCCTTGCAATCCCCACCCCTGCACTGAAAAGGTTTTATGCCTGGGGGAACAGATAAAAGGCCTTTTACTGTCCTTATCCCTCACTCCTTAGGCAGCCAACCCTTGTTTCTTTTCCCTGACATTCAGACTTGTATGCAGTTCCAAACTGTCCTCCCATGCAATGCAGGGTTATTGGCCATGCATTGTATGTATTTGACCTCTGAGTACCTAAGATCACTGGAGTGCCTTCTAGAAGAGGCTGTGGGAGCTTGTCTTACAGCTGGAGGGTGCCTGCTGGAACAAGGGAAAAGGGTAAGTAAAATTCCCTTTTTACTGATATCCTATAGGAAGGAATGGAAATTGTAACCTTTTGAAGTGTGGAGAAGCCTCATTGTAAGGGAATTTTTAGTTTTCCCCATCTTAAGACAAAAGTCAAAATTGTGTTTTTGAACTACTTGTTTTGTATCTGTAATTTTAAAGGGGGTTATTTACTAAACTGGATTGTGCAAAATCTGGTGCAGCTCTGTATAGAAACCAATCAGCTTTCTTATTGTCAAAGCTTAATAGAACAAGATTAAGTTAGAAGCTGATTTGGCTACCATGCACAGCTGCACCAGATTTTGAATGCACCTGTTTTAGTAAATCAATCCTAAAGTGTTGGAGCAGAAACATCAGAAATGACAGTTGGGCAACTAGAATTTTGAGAGGCAGAGGTAAACAACATTTGACCCACATATTTATTTTATTACATGGAAACTCCAGGGAAAACGTTATTTTCGAATTTGTCCTCTGTAGAAATGAGTTACCTCCTAATGATGGTAATTCTAAAGCTGCCCATACATTTGCCTGTTTGTTTTTTTTTGCCTTCAGCCAGTAGGCTAAATGAAAAAAACAGATTCGCCCATCCACACAAATGAGGTGGATGGGGTTCATTTGTATTCTATTCTGTTGTATTGTATTCTAACAACAGGGTTCTTCGCTGTCAGAGTATACTGATTAGCAGCTGATTGGCAAATATTTTCCAGATTGTCTGTTCAAGACACAGTGCGCAGAAGTCTCCAACTGTCTGCAGAGTCAGTAGCTAAAGACCTCCAAACTTCATGTGGCCTTCAGGTTAGCGTAGAGAGCTTCATGGAATGGATTTCCAATGCCGAGCAGCTGCATCCAAGCCTTACATCAGCCTATCTCAGCTAGAGTGCCTTGAGGTTTTTTTCAGGGGTACCTTGGCAAAATGTCTAAAAATTGCCCAAAACTTCTGTACAAGCCAGCCTTTTAGTTACACAAAGCCACAGGTTTTCATTACACCATTTCATCCATTACAACCTTCTAGCCGCCGGCATCCTGACAACCAATGACCTCAATTTATAAGGAGGATATCAGCTGCCTGCACATAATCCTGGTTTGACCCTCCCCTGCCCCTCTGTCCAGTGCTGGGGTCACATTAGCTCAGTGATGGAGAACAACTGAAGAAGAAAAACGCTGGAATACTATTCAGTACCAGTGTGCAAAAGTATGTTTGCTTTGAAAGAATAAATCACCTCCAATGTTGGGTGTCCTACATATGTGGATGTTGCTGCGTTCTATAAAACTATTAGAATAGGTTTTCACATTTTAGCATGGGGTGCCCTTTTTAAAAATGTATGAACAGTCTAGAGGCAACCCATTTTAGATAAGAGTGCCTCGGGACTGTCCATAATTTTTAAAGGGTGCCTTGACTGAAAAAAGGTTGAGAAACACCTGCCTTGCATCACTAAGTGCAATGCAAAGCATCGGATGCAGTGGTGTAAAGCACGTACCACTGAACTCTAGAGCCATGTAGACGTGTTCTCTGGAGTGATGAATCACGCTTCACTGTCTGGCAATCCGATGGACGTGTCTGGCTTTGGCGGTTGCCAGGAGAATGGTACTTGCCTGACTGCATTGTGCCAAGTGTAAAATTTGGTGGAAGGGGGATTATGGTGTGGGTTTTTTTTTTTTTTTTTTTTCAAGGTTGGGCTTGGGCCCCTTAAGATGTCAGCATACCAAGACATTTTGGACAATTTCATGCTTCCAACTTTGTGGGAACAGTATGGCCCCTTCCTGTTCCAACATGACTGTGCACAAAGCAGGGTCCATAAAGACATGGACAAGCAAGTTTGGGGTGGAGAAACTTGACTGGCTTGCATCTCAACCAGTTAACACATGGGATGAATTAGAGTGGAGACTGCGAGCCAGGCCTTCTCATCTGACATCAGTGCCTGACCTTACAAATGCACTTCTGAAAGAATGGTCAAACCTTCCCATAGACACACTCCTTAACCTTGTGGACAGCTTTCCCAGAAGAGTTGAAGCTATTCTAGTTGCAAAGGGTGGGCCAACTCCATATTGAACCTTACGGGCTAAGACTGGGATGCCATTAATGTTCATGTGCATGTAAAGGCAGACGTCCCAATACTTTTGGCAATATAGTGTATGTTGCAATTGCTCTAAGGATTGTGCAACAATAAAGTTGGACCTAACAAAAAAAAAAAGAAAAATAGCACACATATATATCTTTCTGTTGACTATACTCTGACTGTACAATTTTTTTTTTATAATTTTTTTTTAGTTGGCTTATATATTGTCCCTCCTTGACCTTTTCTACCAAATTGTTAAATCCTTAGACATTCTTTAGGAAAATAGCCTTGGTACCTGTATGCAGTTATTGTTTTGAGATTTCTGTTCTCTTAACCACTTGCCCTACAGTAGATTTACTCTCCTTTAATAACCATGCCTTTTTTCGCTATTTGGCACTGAGCTATTTCAACTGGTAATTGCGCAGTCATGCAATGCGGTACCCCAAAAAAATTTTTTGTTTTGGGGGGTTATTTATATCACAAAACAATAAAAAACCCAGTGGTGATCAAACAAAAAAAGACTGAAAATTATTAAAATTTTGGTTATAAAAAAATATATAAAAAACATTCATAAATTTAGGCCAAAATGTAGTCTGCTACATGAGTTTTGGTTAAAAAAAAAAAAAAAAAAATCCCAATACGTGTATATTACTTTGTTTTGTGTGTAAGTAATAGTGTGTGTGTGTATGTATATTGTGTGTGTGTGTGTGTGTGTGTGTGTGTGTGTGTGTAATAAGTGTGTGTGTGTATGCTATTTTACGCAGCTTTTACTTTTCTGACTAATCTATCACAATTCTTGAGGTGCTAATGTGCCAGGGCAGTACACCCCCACCCCCCTTTCTTTCTCTTTCTTTTTTTTTTTTTTTTTCTTTTTTCATATTTTGAAAGTAGACTCCCCAAGGAATTTGCTGGGAGGCATGTTGAGGCCATGGAAAATTAAATTTTTTGCCACGAATCTTTG